GTGATTTTTTACAGACTCCAGACTTTGAACAGACAACAAATCAGGTTCACTTAGCCTTCCCACTCAGTTTTTTAGTCCTGTATTCAATCAGCCTGTACAACCTAAAGAGCCTGCAGGAAAATTCCTAAGGGGGGAAACCAATGTTATGTTTGGAGGATTGGGGAAAAGACCCTCCCTTTTTTTTGTTAGCGTAATACATTTCTTACTTTATTTATGACTTTATATTATACATTACACAAATTTAACTTGAATGAATTGAGCTGACGCTTGGTTCATGTTTCAATTTACTGTTTATTAGGGAGGCAGGCCACTCATTCCATGTGGTTGACCATGTACAGCTTGTCCCGGGTTCTGATCCCGCCAAATCACAAATGGATTTTACTAAGTGATAATGCTGCAGCCACTAGGTCTAGCCTTAAGTAATTTGAAAAACAATCCCGGGCTCGTGCCTAGCGTACTAAGACATAAAAAATCAAACGTTTCATCCTAAATATTTGGTAATCTGAAATGGGTCCGGTACCAACCATTTCGGACTAACGGGACTCTACTGTATGCAAGTAGGCCTACAAGTAAATCTATTAATCTTTATTTTATTTTACACAGATCTTTTGACTCAAGTATTTTTTACTAAACAATAACAAAATGAAAATGAACCGATCAACTGGTACGTTAAACAACTAAAAACTAAAAACTGTTCGTACGGTTGAACTGACTCAACAAAAAGTTCCCACTATCTTTTGTAATCCAATAAATGTAATTTAATTAGTGAAGTAAACAAACAAGGAAATTGAAATCAACACAGTAGATCACTGACAGATACCAGACATGTAATGTGATGCTTGGCCTTAATTAACTAAATGCACTGGATACTCTATATTGATTGGATATAGTGATAAGCCATGTCTCTATGTAAAACACCTTGCATTAGAGTATTCTGTACAACAAATGTATAGTTAGATATTGCAACAGCTTTCTGGAGCTCCTCCAAGACTATATAAATCCTGCAACATTAAGTCAATTCTTATTAACAATGTTAATGGTACAATATGATCAACGATATAAACAACTCATGGATCGCTGGCTCAGTGTTGGCCGCGCGGTCGAGCTTCCCCCACCATCGACTGGCAGAAGCCGACGCAGCCCATACATTCACCATTATAAAACACACTTTTTAAAAATGCTGCTTTGTTGAAATTTATAGGGATAAAATATTGCTAACGCTTATCAAACTCTTTTTACTAGTAAACCTTTTATGTCTGTTTTGTTTCTTGCAGAAAATAGCCCATCTGAATTCTTTAAAACTACAAATTCACTAAACCCGTTTTGTAGATGTTTTTAGACAACTGATAATGCTAGTTCCAAATTGTACATGGTAAAATAATAAGTGATTACAAAAGAGAAATAGAAAGTACAATATTTGTAATTGAAATTCTATTTTATTAATCGAAAAAAATAGTACATAAACATTTAGAATAATTTTTAGAAGTTTTTGCCGCAATGGTAACGTTATGTTTGACGTAAACGCGATATTTTTTTCTTTCAATGTTTAATGGCAATGTATCTTACGAAATAGATCATAAAAAAGTTATGCTTATCACGTTAATGTCAAGCATAGATTTGCGGTAAAAACTGGACAAATGTAGTAGGGTTTCTAAGAGTTTAAATGTGTTATTTTCTGCAAGAAAAGAAGAAGAAATAAAGTTTAGAATAGTATAAAGTGTCTGGCATGCATTAGCAATATTTTATATCTATATATTTAAACAGAGCAGCAACTTAAAAAGGTGCGTTTTACAATGGTGAGTGTATGGGCTGCGTCGGCTACTGCCAGTAGATGGTGGGGGGAGCTAGACCGAAAACAGCGCCCGCAGTGCTACTGAGAGCGCAATCCAGTAGTTTTTACATCGTTGAATATGATTCCTAACAACTTGCATAACCTGCAACTTATCAGTATGCTTTGTAGAAGAATTAGCAGCTGGGTTAATAATATGTTATATGAGGAGGTGAATGTTAGTGTTTCACATTCACCGATTAAAGTATGCCATTCCCTCATCTTATAAACACAAAATTCGACAAACACTTATTATGTACTAGTAAGAAATAATTAGTTCATTTGCTAATCGGAGGTGCAACTCTCAAAGAATGTATCCCTCATGTCAACTTCCGCCCACTTTCCCTACTGATTTTTTATGTGAATTTCACCATCAAGGGCATCAAGCCATCAAGCTTTGCCACCAATAGGCTATGATTATTTATTATTATAAAATGTATTGATATTATTATGTACACAGGGAAATCACAATTAAATGACAATTGTGAGAAAGATGCTGTTGAAAGTACAACAACCTAACAAAAACACTACTGTTTAATAACTTAAAATGATTTAGAAGTTTTGTTTAGTCCTACTGTTTACAAGAAACTTTACACAGTTTGAATGCTGACAACTACCATTTGTATTGGACACTTTCCACACATATCCTATTTATGTATTTTATTTTTAAGGAGGTTACCTTCTCACACAAATAAGTTTTTACTTAATTTAATTTTAAAACTATAATTACAATTATCACAAATCCATTCTAACTACATTCTGTAATCGCGGCACTAACGTGATAAATAATTTCCAACAACCACGGTCACTTCCTAATCATCTCCCTCGTTCGTGGAAACATTACCATCATATCCACATGTTTGGTTAAAAACTAATGGGCTTGGTTGGTCTTTTCCCTATTGCTGGAATATTGTAAATTAAAGGTCATTAAAACTTTGAAGACATTTTCCTTGATTGCAATAGTCAATGATATCAGAGCATTATTAACGCCCAAAAGTCCAAATTAAGTATTTAAATCCACACATAAAAATTGGGAACAATAATTATTTCCCAAACATATAGTGTTTAATATTCCTAGTTTTAAGCTAAAAGACATACTTAGATCAGAAGTTGACTTGGAACAGGCACATACATGGATCATGTCATTGACAAAGGAACAGGAGCCATGGGCACCTGCAGAAGAACATTTGGCTAAAAATGGGGACTCAACCCGTGACTGATCTGGTGGATATATGAAGCCATAGTCAGTCAAGCCTTAGTCAGTCAATACCCAATAGTAGTAGTCAATAGTAGCCTATGGTGGAATACGCAGTCCTGGTGTAGTGGCAGAAGGCATAGTAGACTGGGGCAGCTGCTAAGCTGCAAACACTTGCCTGCACATGGGTATATGGCACAAGATCATGCCCGACAGTGGTGATGGAGTCAAATCTAGGCGCTCTCCCACTCGGACTGGATATAAAGAAAAGGGCAGCACTAACAGCACTGAAGACTTGCAGCAAAGGAGAAATATCTACTTCGAGAAGGACAGGTCACATGTCAACTCTAAGGGAACTCCCGGGTTTAGACGTGGAGATGATGGTCTCAGATCTCTTGATTAGGAAGGACGACTTTGCTAAACCCTACCAAGTGGTCATAGGAGACAGAGGAAAATGACAGAAGGTAAGGGAAAAAAGTCGGCGATGGTGTTTTACACAGACGGATCGCGGAGGGAGGGCAGGTCCGGACTTGGAGTGTATGGGATTGGAACCGACCTCTCAAAGGCCGATGGCGATAGAGCATTGTGCGAGACTGCAGCTGGATAAAAGTCTGAAGAGGAGAGGAGTTCTTATCCTCTCAAACAGCCAAGCTGCTCTCAACGCTTGCGTAGTGGAATCGAAAGTTGTGCAGAGCTGCAGGAACGCCCTGAAGACCTTGGGTGAACACAACAGAGTACAACTTGCATGGATCCCAGGTCACGCTGGGCATGAAGGCAACAAAAGGGCTGACGTCCTGGCGGACGAGGGGGCGAAGTCCGAACTTGTCGGGCCTGAACAATGCTGTGGAGTTCCAGTGAGCAAAGGCCGATCAAAAATCTGAAAAATCCTAGCCCGGGGTGTATGGGAAAATACCACAGGCCCAAGACAATCAAATATTCTCATCAATCCTCTTAGTAAGGAATGGAGAAACATCTTTGACCTCCAAAAATAAGTCTCTTGATAGGTCTCCTTACAGGACATGGCCATGTGAAGAAGTACTTCAGAACAATAGGGCTTAGACAAACGGATCAGTGCAGATTCTGCCTCTCCGAAGCGGGATCCGCTGAGCACATATGGAATGTCTGGCGTTAGCCCAGAAGAGGTTGAAATACCTAGGAAAGGCATTACTGATGCCTACTGAAATAAGAGAAGTGGGTGTGCACCAATTGATACGCTTTGCAAGGAGACTTCAGTTGGTGGACTAATCTAAAAGGGTGCTACAAAAGATCTTTCAGGTCCTAATGTAGTAAGGGGTAATGCTACCCCAGCCCCCAAGGAGAAAAAAAGCTACAAGACAACAAGAGTTAATCACATTAAACTCTGAATATTTTAATTTACAGCTGTGCCCCTTGCTACCCGCTTGGTACTTTTCTGGTGCTCACCAGACCGTTTCAGTAATGAGAAATAGTTACAACTCCCAGTAAAAAACATTTTTATATGTTTGGTCTCCTCCCAAACAGCGACTCATAGTTTGGGAACCACTGCTCTACATCGTCAGCCGTGTAAACTATACTTTCAAATATTAGAATAGAATATGCAAAAAATTAAACAATAAAGTCAAAAACAAGTAAATAATAAAGCAAATCATGTTAATTACTTATTGTACTATTATCTTATCAACGAAACTCTACTCACAGCTAAATTATGACTGTCAGTAGGTTAATTTAAAAAAATGGCAAAACAGGTTAAAAAATGAGTCAGTGATGAAAACATCAGCTTGTACCTATCTTAGTACCGATACATTTTAAATGGTGCCATCAGGATATGAACCCAAGACATCACTGTCGTTGCGCTACCAACTGAGACATTGAGAGCTTTTACAACTCCTAATTAGTTACGGTTCTTGTAAACCTATTAGAACTGAAAGCACAAGAGAGATTGTATTTTTAAGGAATAACAATCAAGAAGAGGGAAAATGAAACCAATGGAATATTGAATATCACATTCTATTTGAATAAAATTATATATCTTAAAAACATAAATTAATTGTAGCCCAGTCCTCACTATTCTTATTAACTATTTGTATTTTTGAAAATATAAGTACTTTGAAAATAAATACTTTTGCTACAATTTATAAGCTGGTCAAGTGAAGATGAGGCTTTATGTAATAAATTAAAGCTCAAAATAACTGCAGGCACATGAAAGAGGCAACCCTCACAAAGCTAATACAAGAAAATGATCTGTGGTTTGTTTTACAACTATGCAATGTGAAAATTAACAATATTTCTATACAATTTAAAAGTACAATAGACGATACACAAAATGGGGCAGATTCAGAAACATACATGATAAAAATCATAAATCATTAACAAACGCCACACAAAATCGTAACAGGGACACAAATATAATATAATATAAATATTTTTTATAAAGGAAACTGGAATGCTAAGTGACACATAACAAAGTAATTATATTGCAAATCAATACTCGGGATATACACAATTTACAGATAAATACAATTATTCAGAAATTCGATAGCAGAGCTGTGCACGTACAGGTACAGTGCACTCAAAACAAAATTATTTTTTGTGTGTAGATTAACATGTGTAAATATTAAGTGAGAAAGTACAAAAAAGCAGTTATATTTTCTCAAAGATGAAAAAAAACAATCCTGTTGTGGTTAGGCTTTAAGGCATTCAATTTAATTGTAATTATTTTCCTACATATTAATTAACACTTGCATCATACACACTGGTATTAAACACAAAGCGATTTTAAAATGAGCAACGGTTGAAATTCAAACTTTCAAATACAAGAAATTTATTAACAATTATTACTAACATAGTTTTTATGTTGCAACATTTAAGCGGATGGAATTTTAGTCTACCCAGCTAACCTATGTAGTTATGGTAGTCTACCTAAGTTGTAGGCTAGGATCGGTAGCTCTGCTCCGTAGTGTAACTTGAGTGCACAGCTCGCAGGTGGTGGTAGGAGGGGGAGAGGTAGGGGGATTAGGAAGGGCGTTCCTCGTTGATGGTGGGGGTGGTCGCCGGAGACTTGCGGTTAGCCTCAGCTTCACGGAGAGCTTCATCAAAACTGACCATGGAATTGGAGCGGGATGTTGTCACTTTAGTCTGCACAAAGGAAAATCCAACGGTCAACAGTAAATAGTCGCTCAATAACCTAATGAAAATTAATGGTAAGAATCCATTTTCTGCAACTAAAATGTCAACTTACTGAATATTACACTTAACATTAACTTCCAACAGTCTGCTTTAACTAGTCTGATGCGTTTGGTCAATGCAGAGAAATTTCTTTAGCCATTTCCATTTCGTCTACTATTAATTGGAGCTTGAGAATGTCACTGTGTTGACAGAACATGTCAGATGCGAAGTCAGAAGATAACCCTTCAATATTTAATGGATGGACAATTAAAAATCAAATCAATGGTCTGAATTATGTAATTTTATTGTAAAATCACTATAAAATGAGGAAAAACTTGTTTGAAAGATACTTTGCTGTCAACTGTTTTTAGACTGTATTTCACAATTACAGTTAAATTACAAAAGAGAATTGTTTTTTTGTTAATTGTGGGGTTTTCTGACATGAGCCCCTTAGTAGAGATTAAACAGAACCAGGATTTGGACTGTTCCCACATAGAAATTGTTGGCATTCATCAGTCGATTAATTTCCAGAGTTAAATTTATGTGTAAGAAGCACAAGTTAATAAATATTGTAAAAATTATAATAAAGCAAGTGGTTAATAAACAATAAAAATTCACACAGTTAATCACACAAGTACCACAAAAAGTGTAAAAATTGGTCGGCAAATCATTTTTATATTTTTAACCTTTACCTTCTTTGTATTGCCATAACAGTATACTACAAAAAATACACAATTTTAAAACACGCATATTTTATATAAATAAATGTACTATTGGATTTTTTTTTTTTAAGTGATTATTTACTGAAAAACAAGACTAGACAGGATCAGAAATAAAGATATTGAACAACAGTTTGAATATGACAACAATATTAAAAAACAATTATATAACTAGGATGATTTAGTTAAATAATAAAAATCAAGGAGAAGTAAAATCAGGCAAATATACGGGTTTGTTTAATTATACAAAATTTTAGCCTCCTGATTGCATTTAAATACTACAAATTAGTGTAAAAAACCTGCATTTATGAGATCTAGTGCGTTGCCGTGCAATGCTCAATACTTTCTTTTTATGCACAGGAAAAAATCCTGTCCCTTCCCATCCCGAACTAAAAATTTAATCCCATTCAGTTATGTTACACCTTTGACTATTAATACACCCAACAGAACATTTAGAATCATCCACTTACAATTATTTGTTAAAGAACACACACACTTTGTGAACTGTTAGTAAAGTTATCTTCCAAATACTTTCCCAAAACAAAAATTAATGAAAAAAATTTGACCTTAATTTTTCCTAAACAATTTTTGATTAACTAGAATTAATCCTCCCTGGGCAAGCAATTGCGTCAGTCTACAATAGAAGTCACGGAAGTCTAGAACAGTGACATAGAGACATTAGTTACAACGAATGCTTAAAAAAATTATGCATGTTAACTTCAGTTCAGCATTAACCTTAAATCATGAAGATGGTAACCAAACATTGTTAGCATCCTACCAAGACTATCAGGTTTCTGTCACTGGCAGACAAGAACATATAAAAATGCTATATGTAATGCAACCAAAAGACATTATTCCAAAGGGAAAACTAAACCCTGATAAAAAATATTTGCTATCTAAAATACACAGGGTGAAAGTGATATTTGACAGGAATATAAGTAACATTTTGGCAACTAATGATTTCCTTTTTTTATAGGAGTTTACAAGTTTATAAACAATTTAATAAGTTAACAGTTAATATTTATGTTTGAAGAAGATTTTCTGTTGACCAAACATTTGTAAAAGGGAGGTTTAGATTAGCAGTTGGAAAAAAGTTTTTTAAACTCTCCAAATTGAACAGAGACATATATTAATTTACACGATACCTTAACGTTTTCGTATGCTGAGCCAAGTTTGTCTTCGAAAGATCGGAAAGAATCAGAGTTCTTGAGAGCTCCAATTTTTGACGTAAATCCAGTTCCAAGTCCACCAAGGAGCGAAGTAGTCTTTTCAGCGGTGGTTTTTATCACAGATTCAGTCTTTTGATATCTGAAATCAAATACCAAATTTATATATAAATAGTACACCAACACCAGTGAAATCTGATACACTCCACCACGGCAAATGTTACGTAGAAGATCAAGCAAGATACTACACAAAAATTATATTAAAACTGCACTGATTTTAAACAAAGTATGAATATTTTGCTGGACATTTTAAAAAATTACTACAATAGACTCCCTATAGTCACAGCCCTGAAATGTTAAGTTTTCTAATGGTACGGCAGGCAAAACAAAATATCAGTACAATTTCATGATTTCTCGAATTCTCAGACAAAATTGATGGTCTATTTTATTTTATTTGTGAGTGTGTGAATATTATTGTTATTACCAAATCAGCTTCATGGTTTGGAACCAGAATATTAATATATTGAGTGCTCTTTTCTGCATGTTAGACGATGTGTGAGCAACTAGAGTTTTAAGCCTAGTCGACTCTGGCCTACAAGTTCAAGCATAAGGTCAGAAAATTAAGCTCGAGCCGAGCTTTTATGGTCGTGATCGCAGAACGTAACTGTAAAGATCACAAGATCATAAAATTCACGCTTTCATGACTCCATTGACAAGCATCGATTCGAATAGAAAATTCTTTTAATCGAATCATCAAATTTTTGCTGCTTCGCACCCCTACTTGTAACCATTCAGACACGTTTTAAACTTTTGGGTTTATTGATTTATTAAGATTGGCAGGCATTTTGTTCAAACAAAGACAAACTTTTATCTGATTGCTACCTCCTTTTCTTTACTAAATAATGATTAAAGGACAAGTAAATAAGTTAGCTATCAAATGTTATCACATAGGACATTATGAGTTAAATGAGAAAAAAGTATCCAACTACACCCAACCACCTATAGCAAGCCTTATGCTGAGCTATTTACAAAGTTAAATGCTTCTTCTGTTTAACAACCAGGCCTAAAGATAGGCACCTGCCCATGTAGCCCTATGCCATAAGCACGGCAGATTTCAACCAACAAATTTTGTACTTACTAGTTAGTATCGCGCTCTCTGTTTTATTTCTAATTTTTAATTTAAATCGGGATAAATAACCCATTTTCATTTCATTTATTAGTAAAAGGGGGGATTACAAATCTATAATATTTTTTGTCTAAGAAGTAGATAAACTTATACTCTAGTTTGTTCCATTCCCAGTTTGACTTGATGCATCAGTTCAAATGTTCATCCCCTTTTAGAGAGTTGTGCTTAAATTTGCTCTTGGTTTTTTATCTTGTAACCAGACCCCACTTCGTATACGATGAATGTGGTAAACCACAAACAGAAAAATCTTTGGTGGCACCAAATGTCAATTTTTTTACAATATTATTTCAATAGCTTTTTGTAATGTTACACTCTAAAGAAAAACTCAATTTAGGAAAAACAAAAACTACTCTGCTTACACCAAGTTATTCTCACATAACCTATACATATTTTAATCTCAAGTAGCACTTAAGGGTGTTTGGTCAAAAATTTGATGTCTTATTTTTTGTTATTGTTCAATTGTACTAAAAATTAGAGATACAAATATATAAGACAAAATTATTTATTTTGAATATTAAGCGAGATATGGAGCTAGAAAGTAGTAAATTTTTCATCTTTGGTACCAGTTCACAGGGAGAATGGGTAATGCGGTTCTCACCAAAATTTGCATTCATGTGTGGAAAATTAAGATAATAATCACTAGCTATTTAAAATTAAAAATTTAAAAAAATTGTAATTTTATTTTTTATAAATTTAAAAAAAAATAAAATTTAAAAAGAAAAATTTTAAAATAGCTGTTTGTTTTTGGGAAAAATGTATCCATATGTTGGAATAAAAAAAAATGTGATATGTTAACTCGTTTGGGCTGTGAATTCGTACCTTTGATGCCTTGCGCTGTCGGAGCACTACTCGTTGAGAGTGTGTACACTAACACTGGGGCTTTAGAATACAACGATAAACGTATTCTTTCAATGTTAAAGGATGTTAATAATTACGTGATGTTAAAGTATTCTAAAGCCCCGGTGTTAGTGTACAAACTCTCAACGAGTAGTGCTCCGACAGCGCAAGGCATCAAAGGTACGAATTCACAGCCCAAACGAGTTAACATATCAAATTTTTTTTTATTCCAACATACAGATACATTTTTCCCAAAAACAAACAGCTATTTTTAAATTTTTTTTATTTTTAATTTTTAAAAAATTTATAAAAAATAAAATTTTAATTTTTTTTTAAATTTTTAATTTTAAATAGCTAGTGATTATTATCTTATTTTTCCACACCTGAATGCAAATTTTGATGAGAATCGCATTACCCATTCTCCCTGTGAATTGGTACCAAAGATGAAAAATTTACTACTTTCAAGCTCAATATCTCGCTTGATATTCAAAATAAAATTTTTTTTCTTATATATTTGTATTTCTAATTTTTAGTACAATTAAACAATAACAAAAAGTCAGACATGAAAATTTGCGACCAAACACCCTTAAACATTTTTAGCTAGTTTAATTTTAAATGTTTTCCCCAAACCTCCCTGCCTGTTGAGGCCCACCAAACTTGAGGTGGGGGGGGGGGGGCAAAGAAAATATCACAAATTGTGGATATTTATAGGCATGTAGCCTACTGTGGATACAATACTCCCTGGTGTGGATTAACGTCCGCACTAGTGAGTACTACAACTTTCTGCAGTACTATCCTGATAATTAGACCAATTTGTTAATACCACGGCAAAAATGTGGTTCAAATTCCACTATAAACTGTAGGTCCCTTAGTCGCCATTAGCTGTATGGGCTATTAATTAACAGCTGTGTCTAAGGAATATGTTGGCCTTAGTCACTAACAAGACTACAAGATCGCGCCATTCATCCTACACTCATCTCTATTCATACTTGGCTTAAAATACCTACTTTGTATGGTCGTCATTTCATTGAAAAGTATTAAAGTATCAAAGCTGTTTGTAGCCTAGAGTGCAATTCACCCTAAACCTGGGACTGGTTGTAATACTGAAAAAGTGAAAAGGTTACACCTAAGCCAACTGGCATTCCATCAGTAGTTTAAAATAAAAAAATTAAAAAAACCAGAGAATATTACTGATTTAAAAATTATCTTTTCCTAAACCAAGTGCCAAAATGTAGACATTCCCATTTGGCTTAGCCTGATTGAATGAACATACGAGGGCCTTCCAGAAAGTATCAAAGGTTTTGCATTGGCGCTATCGCCACTATCTTAGTACACGGTATTTTTTTCAATCAGAACATCCCCAAACACTATAACGCATTTCTCTGCTGTACAGCAGTTCTGTCATTGCATAAAACATCATATTTAATGATTTTCCTATAATCAGCACATTGGTTTCTGCCACCCATTCACTATACTTGTGCACAAACATTGCACAGTCGTGACTTTGTGGTAGGGATGGATTTGATTCCTAAAATGTCCACTAAAATTTCAGGGGTTTGGACAGCTTTCCCCTAGAAGTGTATAACAAAATTTCTCAATCATAAAATGCCACTAGCGTTGAAAACAAAACCATTTTACTATTTCAAGTATAGTAAACATAACCCAAAAGTGAAATGGTCAGCAGGACATGGAAAATCTTTTGGTTTTAATATAAAATTAAAAAAATGTTTAACTACAATTTCAAAATGAACTCTTAGAGTTTAGGCTGGCAGGCAAAACAACTTACATTGGGGCTTCAGTGACTGCCTTGCTGACCTGACTAACCTTCTCTTCTACATTATGGTAACTGCGATGAAACAAAAGAACCAAATAAATAATGTGAACTCAAAATGACCGCCACCACAAAACATAAACCAAACCCCACCAACCAAAACAAAAAAAAAGGTAATAAATATTGGATAGGATGAAGGTTAGGATCCCACGAGACATGTTTAGTAACTGCAAACGGTAAAGGGCAGACAACACTAACAACAGAATCACAGATATTAATACGTGTTTTTAAGCAGAGAGAGAGGTGGAATTTAGTAAGTTAGTTGCAAATATTAGCTAGGTTAGCAAAAACGTGGAAGAGTAACATTTTTTTTAAAACTTTGGCACATAAATTAAATTATTGGGGAAAATATCAAATTTATTTGCTTGGTAGTTACACTATTTTCTCTCAAAAGATCTTTAAACATAAAAATGTGAAAAATTTTTATAAAGAAAACATTTTACATATATTTATTACACTCTGTATGATATTAAAAGGCTAAAAAGTTGTATAGATTCAATTTTTGCAGTTTTTCTAAAGATTTAGAATCAGATGGGAGGAGGGACCAAAACAAAAACCTTACCACCAACAAAAAAAAAAAAAAAAACATAGTTAAACGTTTCTAATTAGCAAGTACTTTCCTATTTCCTTCGGCAGAGTAGTCGATCAATCAATTTTTAACTTTCTTTGATGGGGTTTTAGTGGACAAAAGACTTAAAGCATATCTAATAGTTTTGTATAAAATTTATAAATAATTTCAGGGTTTCAACCAAAACAATACTTGAAACTGCATTCCACGGTTTTAACAGTCTGTTGGGCGACATTTTTAAGGTCCCAGGCTTGGAGGGGTGATTAAATGTTCATGTAATCAATTTCCTATTTGATTACATGAATATTTTATTGATTTTGGATCAATTCAAATAAATTACCCTAATCAGTGGTAAAACAAAGTTTGGAAGGAGGTGAGAGGAAGGAAATGCTGGAGGTGCGATAACTTACAGAGGTGCTTCAGTGACAGCCTTGCCAATCTGGGAAATGGTGCCTTCTACATTCTGGTAACTGGAAAAAACAATTATTCAAGCGCTACAAAACTGAAAATAAAATATAATGAAATTAATAAAAAACTAAACAAAAAGAAGTAAAACACAATTAACTTGAGATTTTCACATGCAACTTTTAAGGAGGATACACTACATTTCTCAAAGAAAATTAACCAATTTTTGTCATTACAAAATCAAATCTCGGGAACATTGACAGAACAAACGTATTGCAAGAGTTTTAAACCTAACAGTTAACAAGCAAAAGCTAATTATATCTTTCACCACAAAGCAAGATGCAAAATTCATTGAGACAAATCACAGGTTGAAGAAATGATAATAATTGTTGTTAAAAATTTTATTCAATTTTGCAAATGTTTGTAAATTTTAAAATATCAATGTATGGACTAAAGATTTGCATCGGACTAAAGAAATGCCATCGTCGTCTCCTGTGGTCACGGAAACGTTATCGTCTGCTCCCGCGGTGACGGAAACGTCATCGTTGTCTCCTGCGGTCACTGAAACGTCATCGTCGTATCCCGCGGTCACGGAAACGTCATCGTCGTCTCCCGTGGTCACGGAATCGTCATCGTCGTCTCCCGCGATCACAGAAACGTCATCGTCGTCTCCCATGGTGACGGAAACGTTATCGTCTGCTCCCGCGGTCACGGAAACGTCATCTTCATGCGCGATCGTGGCAAATTCCCGGTAAAATACGAAATTCACGCATAATTCCCGGTTCAAAAAATTTACGCATAATTCCCTGTTTTCCCGGTCGGTGGACACCCTGAAAAATTACCCCCACTCCCAAAAAAAACTGACCCTTTCGGTGGATTTGGGAGATTTAAAAATAACTTCCCCAAATTTCCGGAGTGAAAATAGGGGGGGTTTAAGTTGTTACCGATGATCTACCTTGTATAATTTTGCCGCTTTATGTTGTGTACTGGTGGTCTGCTTCACCCTGTATAGTAATATATTATGGTTCCATATATCGGTGAAAAAAACCATTTTATTAAAATAATTATGTCATCTAATAATGCAAAAATACATCCACGGATGTAGCGTACTTTGAATTTTCCTAATCCCCTGATTTATTTTATCTCATTTAAATAAAATTTATATTTATCAAAATTAGGCTCTGCCCCTTTTTAAATTAAGTAGGCTAGTTATACTTGAACGTCAGCATTTTCAACACTTTCTTCATTTCTAAACAGTTTTTTCCTTTCATCAATAAAGTTATTTTAGAGTTCAGTGATGTGTTAGATTACAGTAATACCCTAATAACATTTTAAATAATGTAGAAACGAGTATTTGCCACTTTAATAGTAATGCATTATTAACCGTATACAATGCAGGAATGATGATGCAGGTTGATGTCTTCATGGCATACTTAATAAATAATCTTACTAAAAATTAAATAAGATAAAACAAAGAACATAAAAATCATATAAAGATAAATAATGTAAAAAACTGATAACAAAAGCAAGTATTTGTAGAGATGATAAACTAAAGCAGAAACAATTAACACATAACTTTGTTTACCGCTTACTCTAACTTTGACCACAACTTACACATTAGACTCCTTGACATTGCGGATACCCTGGCTCATGTCGTCCTGGAACTCGCGCCACACACTGAAGCCCAACTTGCGCTTGAGTTCCTGCGAAGCCTTCATCTTGGAGGCGAGAACATGTCGAAGGGTCTGTATCTCCTCCTCAACCTGTTGCAAATGTGCGTTTATTTTTAGGCATTTCAAACCAAAGTAATTTACTCATTGGCAAAACTATAACATTTAGAAAAATTAGATGTTAGTTAGTCTTGGCTCATGAGAAGAGAGACGAGGCTTCAGTATCACAGGCTAAGCGAGCTCACTCTCTTCTCAGACAGTCGTCTCCAACGTTCTACGATTAGGCAGAAGGCAACTAAGACAGATCAAAGGAATGTCATGGATCATGGCTTCCTAAGATTGCACCTACATCGCTTGAGGATAAAAAATGGTGACAGGAAATGTGGGCGGTCTGAGGAGACTACGGACTATCTACTTTTTGACTGCACAGCTCTGAATGAAGTAAGGGAAAGCACTTTCGGAACTATGACATGGGGCGGACACCTGCCTCAGGACAGGAGGAGCTCAGACGGGAGGCTGCAGTTCACTAAGGAACTCAGATGTGATGGGCTCTGGGGCACCAAACGGCAAGAGCAAAAAGCTCACATTTTCATATATATCTACCTATTTTTCAAGTCTTATTTACTTAATCCACAGCTAAATAACTTCAGTTTGTAGCTCATAATTTCAGGTTTCTTTTTTTAAGTGCTATGCTCTCAATCCAAGCTGGGTGATAATTGAGTGAGATTTATTCCACATCACAATTTTGCTTTTTTGTCTTGTTGCTTTAAACCTTCTTTACAATCAACTCTATCTCACTTATAATTAAATTGACATCCATCATAATCAAAAACATCTTAACCCATTCCTGAGTGAGTTATTATCATACAGTATTATTTGAGTAAGTAAGTATCATGCAGTTAGAACTGAGTAAAAAAGGCCCAATGTAGGCTACACTGTTTTAGTAAAAAACTCATTAAGAATTTAATTTATGAAATAAATGCACACATAAAATAAAACACTTGTCTTTAAATTGATCTACTTCAATCTATTTCTTGGCCAAATTAAAAAGTAATATTCAATTCCTTACATAAAAAACTCTACATAAAAAACTTTGTAAAATCTGCAAAACCACAAAATAGGCCTGATACAATTTTAGCACCAAAATTGCATGTGTACTAATTTATGGTGTTGTGAGTACTATACAAATGAAAAATTAGGTATGTCAATAATAATGATAGTAGACTTAAGTCTTTCGTAACCTGACACCCTAGGACGGGTGCCACCCGTCTTTAGGCGGGAATGGGTTAACAAACGCATTTGATAAACGTACATCAAAAAAGTTTAACAACAATTTTTTTAGATGAATTTGCAAGATGAATATATACTGTCTTTATGTCTCAGGTGCAATATTCCATGGATCCAAAACCTCTTATTTTGTTCTCTTTTTGTGGAGGGAGTGAAGGTTCCATGAATCTAAAATGACCCAGAGCAACATTTTCTATAATAACACTATGGCTTAGTCTTAGTTAAGCACTTTGGGAACACCCTGTATATGTGCTGTTTGAAATCGGCGATGGGTTGATGATAGAGATCAATATGTTGACAAGGACTGTGTTCAGTGAACTGTTCAAGCTATAGTGTTACTAGGCTTCTTCCCTCAGTACAGAACTCTAGACCACGGGTCCATATCTGTGTGTTGGCTTGGCTTCATATCCAGGTTATTACCATGTGGTTGTCTGTCATTTTTCAAGACATTTTGCCACAGGAAATTTTCTGTGCTGTGCGGTTTATCTGTTACAATATAAAAAAAATTAATAAATAACTAAGCCTATCTGCACCTGCCCATGATGTTTACCTTGGCTAGTTCATCAGCCCACTCCTGTTTCTGTCTCTCCTGTTCCTCCGGACTGAGTCCCGCCAACTCATTGATCCCAGAATCTGGAGACACGTCCGCCACCACCTCCTCTCCTGGGGAAATATAACACATAATGTTACATTCAGATTATATATAATCCAACTGTAGATTTAGATGTGCTCTAAAAATACAGTTACCTCTTGAAAATTCAATATCTACATGACTGGGAGGTTTGACGTTTTGGGTGACCAAAAAAATAGGTACCTAACGAACAACTTAAGAAAATCTGATTCTGAAGGCTTATTTATTATTCCGAGTCGGTTTGGCTCTTCTACCCAAGCGATTTTCATAAGTTTGGTCTTAAATTAAAGGTACAGGTATTAAAGGTGCACGGACAGATTTGCCATCAAGCAAAGGCATTCATTTATCTGAAGTATATTTCGAGTTATGCCCAAAAGCAACTTCCACCCATTTCTAAGTTAAATTAGGTTTTTCTTTTCCGAGTTTGTTAGGCTATTCTACCTGACTGATTTTAAAAATTTTTGTCTTAAATTAAAGGTATGCACGCACAGATTTGCCATCAAGCATCATCACTCATTTATCTACTGTATCACTCTCGACAAATAAATGTTTAAGATGGGACATGATAAATGATAAGATCGGACGTACCTAAAGCAGGCTGCTGAACAACAAACAATCTAAATTAATTGTTAAAAAATAGAGTTATTTATCATTGATTGATAGTTAAATTATTTTGCTTGAAACCTCAAAATTAACCGCCGGTTTCACTCACTTAGTTAATTATTAAAAAGGAAAACAGTGTTTATTGAATAAAAACATATTTAGTTTAGCCCATTACCCTGGATCTCGTAGATATGAATATCAAATCAAATTCTCTTTATTCACTTTATACATTTTACACACATGAATAGTGTCAACGCATACAAAATTGGTTATGCAACTTAGCCTAAAAGACTTAACCATACAATTTGGCAATTATTTATTTCATATTACAGTATTAATATTATTATTTTATTTTATTGTTAAGTATAACCTATATTTCAAATTATATTAGGCTTACCTTAATTAAATAAGTAAATGCAAAACCTGGTCTACCTCCTTAAAATTAAATTGACAAAATATCAAATAAATAACAGTAATGTATCCTGCTCAATAATCAATACTATTCACAGTAAATGCCAAAACTAATTAGACACGAGACTCTGGTTACAACACAATCAAACACCAGCATTGCAGTATCTGATTACACTGTATCACACTATCAAATGTCAGATTGTACCAAAATTTCAAGACAATCACAATAGTCACATAATTTCCAAAACAAAAATATAGGTAAATGCTATAGTTATTGGCACCTTAACTGTAAGCTTCGGAGAAATCTACCACAGCTCCTTTGCAATACTTTTTATAATATCTACGTTTTTTAAACATGTAGCAGAATGTACTGAGAATACAGGGATGTATTAAGAATATATATATATCATTACTTAAGTTTATTAAAAAAATAAAATATAAAGAAATACAAAAACCATAGTTATTGGCACCATCAACCATAGCTATTGTCACATCTTGGCACAGTTATTGGCACATATAAAAAAGTCTACAAATATTACATTTTAAGTGTCCTAAGATGGACTTTGTTGTCTTATACATAAAATAATGGAAAATAAGATTGTTAAAAAACCCCGGTTCTGATTAAAATTACTCTGTAAAGGTTCTTATCATTACAAACAAAATAGTGCAATCCCCCCCCCCTTGCTGTAAAGAAAACAGTTCAAAAACTATTGCAACTTTTGTGATTTGCCCTATCAAATATCATAGTTACTCCCACCGCACTTGCTTACACACGATAAAGGTTGTTGACAAGCTAAATGGAGAAAGTATGCGTCAGATTGCTGATACTGTTTATTAATTTAATATTCACTTTTGCTCTTTATTTATTGTTTACCAAATACAAGTCTAAAATTTACTTCTAGACAATTAACTGTAGCAACTCATTTAATCGCATAAAAAAGTATTGAATATGCTACTATCATTACTTAACCATTTCTGTATTTACCATTGTAAACGTCACAAGGAAAACTCATCACCATCCCTGTCAATGAGTAAACTTCACAATCATGCATCATTTTACAGTTAAATGAACACAGCTAAGCCAGCACTGACTGAAGACAAAACAACTGTCACCTCACAGATAAATTATTGTAATCACATCTACAGTATTTGGTAGACCCTTCACTTGGTAAGCCTCACAATCGTACATAATCACACTGTTAATCTGTAAACCACGTGGACTAAAGACAAAGCCACAATGTTCAGTAACTCTGTGACCACAGAGTCCAAGCTCATGGCCATTGTTAATCTTATCAACATAAAAAACATGTAGATACAAGTTTACATTTGCTGAAGTAATGATGATTCAAAATCCTAATGAGAGAGAATTATAGGTTTGGTGGACATTAAACATAGTAAATACTCAGTGCGGAGTGCATTGAACACAATGAAACATGAAATACTGTCTAACTTGTTTGATTTTTAAATACAATTTTAGTGAACACATTTTCATTTATTTATTATCATAACCATAAACTGCTGTAGTCAACCAACTACAATCTAGTATCACTTGACGGATACAGGTAATTTAAACCTTTTGATGTAAAAATCAGTGATCAGTGAAATGCTATACTATAAAAATACATACTGAATCAAATTTATTTAATTCCTCTTAAATATGTTTCCATCTAATCTGTTTCATTTAAGTGTATAAGCAACGAGTTAACCCTTAACCTTGTATGGTAATTTTGTCGTAATTTTACAAGTATGGTGGCAACCCAGGTGAGCATAACAGTAGCTCTGTTATAGTCTGTAGTCTGTCATACCCCCATACGCATGCTTGTGTTACCAGTACGGTACTGTGTTCATTGGGGGTCTAGTGTACCTACCCCCGTGCGTGTAGTACTCAGTTTTATTATCATAATTAGTATTAATAACTTTATAAATTTATTATTTATAATTTTGATAGTATTGAAAGTTTGCCAAACAAACTTAGTATCTGTTAATCAATTTGATGGAAATGTCTAACCATAGAGTCCACTGATCTAGCTTCCCAGTAAAAAGGCGCTTTTACCGTGTCTGCCTTGGTGAAAAATACTCCAAGACAAAATTTAATTATGAAACCTTTAAAAAAAAAAAAAATACATAAAAATAATGTGCCAGGGGGACAAATGTAAAACATTTGTGAAGTGTGTTAATAGGACTTCTAAACCAACCACTGGACGAGGATTTTTAAAGAAAAACACACATTACCAAAGAAAGTGTTTAATTTCTTTAATTTTTGGTTCAGGATTTTCTTGATGCTGCAGAGGTTTTTGAAAGCTCATTTAGCAATTAAAGTGTTATCAAAATTTAACCCCCCCCCCCACGAAATTCCACCTCTTTTCAGTGAAAAGTAGTTCAAGGGTCTATTTTTTGTACGTTTTTGAACACCCTGTAAATAGGGATGAAAATAATTTAAAACTTTTTCCACTAAAATACTCAGGACTCAAGGACCTTTAAAATGAGGTATAACACGACCCCCCTTTACATTTGAAAATTTCCCAAAAACCACCCCCACCCCCCAAAATCTGCCCTTTGGGGTGCTTTTTTGGGTTTGAAAATAATTTAGATGAATTCCTTGGGGTCAAAAGAGGGGGTTCCAGTTGCAATTAGGTTTCCATTTGCTTTCATATTGGAGCTATAGAAGCCGGCCGGGTGGTCTGAGACACCCTGTATATGTATCTGTTAGCACGATAACTCGAGCAAAATTGATCAGATTTTAATGAAAATTTTTTATAAACGTGTAAACCTACATTTATTCTAACGAGTTCGCGAACCAGCATGATCGGGCTATGGGAACAGGGTTTTATGGGGTTGAAATAGGTTTTTCCCATTTTTGACCCTAAAAACCCAAAATTTCACGATTTTATTCCAAACCATTTTGTAGAGCTTAAAAAACAAATAATTTAGTATATTGAAGCGTTGTTGTGCGCCTAATGGTTACGGAGAAAATTCCAAAAGATTGTAAATTTTGAATTCCCATGTTATTCTTATGGAGAATAAGTCAATTGTTGTTGAGGTTTACTTGTTTATCAACATATTTTGATCGAATTTGGAAAATGCATTAATTTCTTACTAAACTAATAACATTTAACAAAAAAAACCTTTTTTACCCTCCCTGTTGCAGCAAATGTACTCGTCTAACTAATTATATTTAAATGGGATAAATGTGTTATTTTTAAGGAGGCATTTAAAATCTAATCAGGCAAATGGAAATTTGCTTAGTCTGCAGGTTTGCTACAGCGGGGGTATTTATTATTTCTCGTAAAGAACAAATTACCATTTAAAATAATAGTTGTTAGCGGAGCCACAACTGCTAGTTATTAATAATTCAGTCAATAAAGAGGCATAGGCCTATAAATGTTAAGTGTAATTTTAGGAAGAAAGTTAGGAAAGCTTAATATTATTTAGAGCTGGCATGTTTAAATGTAAATAATAGCATGTTAGACTGTACACTGTTAGAAAACACTTGAAAATGTTGAGCAAGCAAACTCATTGTAACAGTGTAGTTCTACCTCCAAACTATCACAAAATGTTGCATTTTATAACCTATCTGACCAATACAATAGTATTCCAACAAAAGATAATTTATAAAATTGCTTAATTAGATCTTTAAAACACTGCATTATTAATTAAGTTAATGCCCAAAAATATTATTTAACCAGATAGGCCCAATACAAATCTGTTTGTCAAATACAAAGCTGTATATAAAGCTAAAATAATATTTTTTTTTAAATTGAGAACATACATACACATTTTTGTTTTTGATTTTATTACATAGTAAAAAATAATACAAATATGAAATGATTTATTGTTGAGGTTGTAATAGGTGGGAATTAAATTTACTTTACCAGTCTATCAATACTTATAAATTGATGATATGGGGAATGTTCACCCAAATAGGAGTGAAGGAGTAGTGAATGAAGTTTCTTTGACTACTTGATTCAATAGTCATGATCATTTAGCCTAATGTTCAGGAACAGCTGGGTCCAATGGCAGGTTTATGTAAACAAACTATCAGCTGACACGTCCAAGGTCACACGACCGCCGCGCCGCCGTTGACCCTCAGTGGTAACAATGGCCACAGCTGTTACAATATTGACGTACACAGATCTGCAGTTCAGACGGCTACCACAGTAATATCAATGTTGTCATTTTTGGCCTATTTATATATCTATTTCCGTAAACCCAAAATTTTACAATTGAATTATTGTGAGTGAACGGGAGGCTGCAGAAAGCTGGGAGAGGTTTCATTTTGAAGGTGCCAAAAGGTTGTTACGGAATAAAATAATTCACATTTAAATAGCATGTGAATCAAACCCACCGCCACACTTCTAAACGTTATCGGCTCATACCGATAAATTCAGTAAGAAAATGCCATTTACTTTGACTTAAATGAGTAAGCGGATACAGTAAGTGATGATTTTGGTACCTTTGTTATGTTACAATAATTGCTTTGTATGATAGTGTGTCGTGTGAGGTATAATAAAAATTACTTTCCTATCTTAAAGTTATCGGACTATTTGCTACACAACAGTTAGGGTACAAAAAGTAAACATCTGGCACAATTAATTTACCTCTAACGAGCTGTAGGAACTTGGAATAGTTTTTGTGGTTGGTGATTTTCGCCAAGTACGGTTTGCTGAGGTCCTCGAATTTCACTCTCACTCCGCGCACCCATTTGTTCCGTCCCGATTTTTTGTCAAACACCTCGGCCTCGACTCTCCTCGGGTCCGTCTCCTCCAACCCTAGACTTGTGGGTTCGTCGAACTCTTCCTCCACGATGACAAAAACGCAGTCTTCTTCGGCCACGTCCTCGTCAAAGCTCGGTGTGTCCGTTTTTGAGACGTAAGCGTAGTAGCAGTCCTCTTCGTACTCGAGGGACGCTGGTTCCGTATCGTCGCCGGATGTCGCGGTGTTTTCTCCCATCCCATAAGCGATCACCTGTCGACTGTAGCGAAGCCGTTCGCGTCCGTAGCGTAGGGAAGCAGCGGAATGAGGTGAGGTAACTACCTCCACGTCACTTCCCCCTCCACCGCGGCCAACGGTACCGTGACTGCGCTGTACTGCTGAGCTGACTGGTCTGGTCAATGCGCCTGCGCTGCAAGCTGCGCCGTCGCCCTCGCCATCTCAGGCGGCTGTGAAAAAAGCTTTCACATGCAACTAAAGATCTCACTTTGGGGAAGTATGGGGTTTTGTTTGGATTTATGATCATAAACCTGTTAACTTTCACGAATTCAAACGGGAGAAAAATGGAAAAAGGAACATCATATTTAGAACTTAGGTTTGCTGCTACAGGGTAGAAAATAAGGGGGGGGGGGGGGTTATTGAAATATTGATAATAATAATAAATAAATAAATAAAAAGGTCTTTATTTAGCAAGCGTTTTTGAGATACAATATTTCTGCTTTTCAAAACAACTCTTGTCCTTAATAGGCCTACTAATAAATTAAAACTAGAGAATCCGTGCGGTTCAATGAGCCGCGAGGAAAACTTTATGCTTAAATTCAAGTAATTCTAGTTACATCTTGTTGTTTAAACACTTGTTAGAATAGTTATTTGTGTAACTAGTGGTGAAAGTGGCACTTTGCTGCACACGAGAGCAATGTTTACGCACGAGCCGTAGGCAAGTGCGGAATGATCTCGAGTGCAGCAAAGGCCTTTTTCACTTGTGTTACACATTATATTTTTCCTACAGTCACTATAAAGCATATAAATAATTAGTCTTTCAAACACTATACAACACGTTTTTAGGTTCAGCTGGCAACACAAATGGTGCCCTAGTGAAAGTAGTACCCACGGTCCGTATCACTCCGCTATTTTTCCTCGGCAAGAAATGTGCTCCGCGTTTTGAGAATATAGTTCCGTATGTTTTTGTAATTTGAAGTGGTTTCCGCGCCTAACAAAAATGCTTTAAAGGTATTTTCTTGTTTATTAAGATGGTAGGAATGTTTTAAAAACGTTTAAAAGAAAAGTACAGAAAGTTCAGAAATACCGAAACTATAAACACGAAATGACAGGTTAAATCGTAGTTATAATCGTCAATCAGCTGCTCATAGTATTATTATCTTTAAGTGTTGCCAACCTATTTCCAAGCGTACACGGATTACGTGCATAATAGAACCACGCTGTTTTGTGTTGTTTCGTTGGAATCCTGATGTGCGGCAAAGTATAAACCGTACGGCAAAGTATAAACCGTACGGCAAAGTATAAATATGCAGCAATTAGCAGCTTTCTGTACTATAAACAGTACAAGGAAGCCAACTTTGTCGGGTGTCTGTAGGAAAAATAATTTTAAATATATCTATTTGCGTCGTCAAGGTTTATTTACATTATTTCTGATCTCAGTTTTAACTGATAAAACTTCTAATGAATGCCAAACGATCTGCTTCAACTCGAGTTAAAATTTGCTAAAAAGTTTTTCCAGGATTGAGAATTGATACATTTACTTTAGATAGAACTACTTTTACCAAGCAAATATTCCTTTAGGCCTAACCTTTTTTTTAAATGTATTCAAAGAGTTGGCCCGTATAACTTGATAGGGGAGGGGAGAGCATTATACATGGTAGGGCCGAAGTATGAGAAGGCGCGCCTCCCCACCTCATGCCTATCTCTAGGAAAGTGCAACAACTTGTCCTGTCTCATGCTGCGGACAGAGACATCTCGGCGAGAGAGAAGTTTCTCACACAGGTACTCAGGCTTGCCGTTCTCTATAGCTTTACGTATCAGGATGGAGGTTGATGTATACAATTATCTTTAATTTGCATAATATTTGCAGTGTTTCTGTAAGGAGTTATGTGATCTCTTCTCGCGCAATTATAAATAAATCTAAGTGATGCATTTTGTAGTCGTTGGATTTATTTAGGTCGCCTTTTGTATGTAATGCTATTTCCGTATGCTGGAAGACAATAATCAAAAACTGACAATACCAAGGCCCTTACTAGTTTTATTTTGACGTTCTCAGGTAAAATCCCTTTCAATCTATATAGACCCTACAGCCGGCCAAGGGCTCGCTAACACATGGGGTTTGCATGGTCAGTTAGCGTCAGGTCTTCGTCAAGAATTACTCCAAGCGTTTTTAGTTTCTCGCATATATTGATGGCTGTCCCATTTATTTTAATTTTACTGACCATGTCTTAATTTTGTTTAAAACGTCTTGCGGTGCAATATGGAGGACTGAACATTTATCGTTGTTCAGTTCCAATCCATGGCTCTTTGACCAGACAGATATAGCATTCAGCTCATTATTAATGACATCAAAGGCTTTAGCGTAACATGTTTTACCATAGGACAGGGGTATCTGGCAATCATCAGCATATAAATGTAAATTGCACGTTTTTACAATTTTTGTGATGTCAGTAGTGTATATATTGTAGAATATTGGATCTCAGCATGTTCCTTGGGGAATTCCTCTTTCTTTTGACAGGGGAGATGATACTTTACCGATGATTTTTGTTACCTGAGTTCTGTTTTTGAGGTAAGATTCGACCCATTTTACTGCTGTGTCATTAAATCCGAAATAGTGCAGTTTGGCTAACAACAATGTATGAGATAATGAATCAAACGCTTGAGAGTAATCCAACATGATTAAAGAGCTACATTTACTATTTTCTTTTGTTTCTAAGAGATCGTTATACAAATTTAGAAGCGAAGTGCAAGTGCTATAGTGTTTCCTGAAATCTGATTGTTGTTTTGGTAAAATGCTTTCTTTTTCGACGAATTCTGAAATCTGTTTAACTACAATTTTCCCAAGAACCTTTGATAAATTTGGCAGTGCTGATATAGGTCTTAGATGTTTAAGACTTTGTGTTCTGATGATGCTTAGTTCTGGGCAGTGGGCTCACAATACTTTCTTTCCAGGCATCTGGGAAGTATCCTGTAGCTAGTGACTGGTTTATCAAATAAGTATTTGCTGAAAGACAGTACGGACTCATTGATTTAATCATGAAAATATTTATACCGTCATTGCCCTTTGCTTTTGAAGAGCTTATTACATTTATTGCTTTTTGGACCTCTGCTATACCCGTGCTTTTCAACGGGAAGAAAATGTGACTTAGAGAGCTATTAAAGTGGTGCTGATGTGTGTTAAATACAGCAACTCTATGATTTAGTTTGAAAATATAAACTGATTTAAAAGCGTAAACCTACTTACTTTCAAACCCCTACTTTTGATGTTAATAGATCCATACCTTAGTCTAGCAATAGCATCAATTGCTTCATATTGATATTTCATAAATTACATGTTTTACCTTTACCATGATTCGTCAATTTCAGTCAAGCCTCTTCACATGTAGCTTACTATATACTGTAAATTAAAAAATTAAACTTTGATCAATACTTTAAAACATATACAACCTCACTGTAAAACCAAACATAACCCTCCTCAATCTTTTTCGAGTAAATAAACAAACACCAGTTCATTGTACTGACCAGCTATCAATCAAATCATATGAACATTGAAAGCACGCCAGACGTAGCCCTTTCGAAATCAGCCTGTGGGGCAGAGTCCTTAGGAAATTCGTCCATATCAATACTTTTCGGCAAATCTACACACTCTAAGCTTCATTTTGATGTGCCATATGCCTATATTTTTATTTGGTGAATGACCTTAACCATTTACGTTTACATAAAATTTGATTGTATCACTTTAATGATATAACTAGTGTACATGTTGCTCGAAATCAAGCAATTGCAAAGAAGTAAAGTAGTTATTTAAAAACAAATATAAATTAAAGTAGGAAATATTTAATTTTAACAAAATCAGTAAAATGTACCCAATGTGTTTTGTTGAATTGAAAAATAAATAACAGCAATTAAATTATACAGCTGATCAAAATGTAAACAATTATGTTCTTCATAAGGATAACATGGGAACTTTCAAAGCCACTGGGACAGAGCCCAAGGGACTATTTCAAAAATGTAAGGCCAGTTTGCAAATCTACGCGACACGCTCTTTCCAATGAGACGTCAATGGATAAAATCGGTTAAGAAATGGCGGAGGAGTTCAACCGACAAAGTTTCATGTAGCGACACAAAGAGAATTGAAGACGGGATAGCTAAAGCTAGGTGAAACTCGTGACGATGGAGAGTAGACCGAGTTGAAATAACTGGAAAACAGCTGACATATGCTTGTTGTGTCACTGGCTACTTCGTCATCCAAATGCAGACTAGACGGCATGTCAGGAGTATTTCTTTGAGCCTTAACTAGTCCCCAGAAAGCTCGTGGATTAGAAGATATGTTTGATTGAACATTGGATAAATATCGAGTGTGGCATTCACGAGACAGCGACATCTCTCAGCCTTGAGAATTCATAATAATGGACAAGATTGAAACTTCTCTTGAAACGTGCATGCGCAGCTTTCTTTTCAATAATGCATTTTTTTAGGTCATCATTAAACCACCTAGGGAAGCGTGAGATACCAAATTTCTTCAACAGACTTGCATTTTTGAAGATTTTCTCTAAGGAACTTTCCAAAAGATCAAACTTTTCATCAGTTGAGATCGGCTGATCTTGTTTTTTAGGCTAAAATAGTCTATTATATGGTTTAAGAAATGAAACTGTTTTAAGCTAACCTAACATAACCAACCAAACTTGCTGTACTATTTAAAAATTCCTTTTGATAACAGAAAAGGCAAGTTAAACATGGAATGTTACATAGTTACATAGTTTCATTTTATTATTGTTTGTTGATACTGAACAATAATTATCGTAGTTGTCAGCTGATATGTTTCAATTTGTCAATATCGATATATCGAGAAAAAATAATCGATAATAATTAATGTTCCCTTTAACATGAAAGTACCTGCTTGTGTTTACATTACTTTTAATTCGTAATTTGCAATGTAACTACGAATATCCCTTATGTGTACGGTATAGCCCCACTCTTCCCTTCTCATTTTAGCACTATCTGTTAAGTAAAGGGAGAAATTGTACCATAGTTAATGCTTTTGCTAC